ACTGTTGGTTGGCTCTAATGGTTTTCTCTCTTGTCTGGAGCAATAGATGACAGTATAGTGATTTATCCTTTCTGTCTTGGGCTGAGTAACAGTTGCCACTTGGGATTAGGTTTTACTGGGAGTTTGTCATTGACATTCAAACCCCTCACTACAGTGCATCAACGATTTTAGAAAAACAGCTTGTAAGCAGCTACAGTTTGTAACACTAGTGCTTCTTTGTTATTGACAGGGTACCTCAGGACTGTAGGTTTATACCTATGTTATAGGCATTTTCTTTTTATTTTTTTTTATTTATTTGTGGACGACTGAAGGTACTATCTTTTACATAATAGACCTATCAGCTGATGGTTCCTCAATGCCTTCATAGGTCATCCTTTAGCGTTGTTCACATCTTGTAGAAAGTGTCATAGCTGTGTATCCAGTCCACTCCTTTGATAAAATGATTGCCAGGTATTTGTACCCCCTACCTCCTACTTATTGTTACATATGATTGAAATATACTTAACCTTTTCAGTTATAATTTCACTATTTTATTTGATTTTTCTCCTTATATAAGTTTACCTTTAAATCAACGGTCAGGTGAAATTACTAAGTAGAGGAAAATATTCATATAGCAGGAATGTCATTTAGTGGAAGACTTCCTTAAAACCAAATTTTCAGACCTGAAACTTAAATAACTAACATTTTGTAAATATTTGCTAGGTGGGTTTATGTTTTTTGGGATTTGACCACAGCAGGCTGGTGATGTTAATAGTGAACAAACTGTTCTACTGATATTAACATCTTGGTATTCTATACTTGTTCCATTAAATCCCAGTTAAACTGAGATTTTCCTGATGGCATCCTCCATTATTATTCATCGCCGAATAATATAAGATCATCTGCGAAAGCTGTGACATTAGGTGATATTTTCAAAACCTTTACCTTTTTTTTGCAGCTAACGCCAAGACTGTTTCTAATTTAAAGTGGGCCAAAGTTCTGCTGCTTGAGTTCTATCCAAAATCCCATTTCACTCTTTTAATCCCCCTCTTCCTGTCATATCTGTAAAGTTATAAACAATCAGATTTCCACTCTTTCCAGTCCACTAAAAACCCTTAAGGTGTTCTAGTCTAGAGTCTTTCTTGTTGTCCCTTGCTCCTAACTGAGAGCATACGGATTTTGTTATAGTCTTTCTTAGGTCTTGATGTACAGGCCTCCTGGGGGTCTTAAATAAGACATGAAGATCTCCTCCTTCATCTTATCTCAACATTCCATTTTTTCTTAGCTTTACATTTTAAATTCTATATCATATGTTTAGAAAACATACAATAAAAATTAGGAGTTACATAAAACTGTGGATAGTATATTTTTTAATCTTTGCCATATGTCTTTTTTCCAAATTCTTCCATTCCTAATTCAAGCTCAAGAAAATTAAGGTCAAAGTCACTCCTGTACTTCAGTCATAAAATTTTGGAGGGACATAAGAGGTGGATGGTGTGTGGATATGTGATTGTGCTAATGTAATGTAGGGAATAAACTCCCAATGTACTTGGTGTTCATATGAATACAAAAAAATAGACCATAAGGAGTCTTATCCAGTCCTATATTTGTTAGCTCTATCATTATGCCCTATACTTCAGGCTGCATGATTATTGCAGGAAATCTATGTCTGTGAAGATACTCTATGATCAATAACAGCAGATTGAAACCAACAATTAAAAAACAAATTATCTTAAGCACTCAGTTTAAAAATCTGTTTAGGGCTAACTCAGGTTAAACTCCTGTCTTTCTGACTAAGACACTGATTAAGCAGATCCAATTTCCAATCAAAGATTCAGGCAACAGGTTTTATAGATACAATCCAACATACAATATTTTGCCAGTATTATTAAATGTAATAAATCAAACTGTCATGCGCAGATCTGGCAAAATTATGTTTTTTAAGAGCAGAATCACAGCAACAACTAAAATTCTGAATGTATCCCTGCAATATTATTTCTGATTTATAAACAGCAGCTTATATAAGGCAGTAAAACTAATGAGAAACTACTTTTTGGGACTCGAAGCTAAAGCGACAGCAAAAGGAAAATGTGATGGAGAGTATGCAGCTCAGATATCTACCACACACCTTATTGAAGAGACACACGATCACCCCTCCTGAGTTCCCCACTTCCATCATCTTTATATTCATTCTCATCCCAGGATATTTTCCACCTTTGAATTGTGCTGTTTTAAATATTTCCTCCTTGATCTTTCAACATCTGCTCCTCACCTCACCACTGTTCTTTTTGTGCTATAAGGTTTTCCAGCTCTCATTGTCCACAGTGCCATCTGCTTATAGGGATTTAGTTGAAATGTTTAGGTATAAGTTTATGCAATATTCTTCTCATGTTTAAGTTCTACCTGTCATCAGTCTGATAAGAATTAGGATATGTATTTATATATTAAATATTTATTTTTCTTCCTTGTTATCAGGAAACAGCTGAAAGAGCAACTCATGTTCTTTTTAAACCACATCCGCTTTAGTTGGTGCAAGAAAAAGGTATAGATGTTTTTCTCTCAGGATAGAAGCAGGCAAGCCTTCTTTTATCAGTATTGTTATGTTATTTAGATATCTAGGCTATGTTATCATTTATGTTATTTTAACCCAAACGACCATGCAACAAGTTGGCAAGAAATACATAAAAGTATGACATAAATGTATAAAATTCACCTGCTATGTAGGATTACGAATGACATTTCAAACTTGATATTAAATTGTGAATTTAAAGCTTGAATCCTAGTTACTTGCAGAAAAGATGTAGATTTCCCCTTTTTTTTTTCATTTTGTATGATTCAAAAACAGGCTCTTAGACAAACCTACTGCAGTGGGAACCGAACTAGATAAATAGTTTATTGTTGTTTAAACTGCTGGATTAAATAGAGCCCTAACTCATTTTTATTGGCATGGAAAAAACTTAACTTAAACTTTGATTTTCCTTTAATTTTGTGGTAAAACAAATGACAGGAAAAGGCCTAATCAGTAATACTTAAATGTTTGGAGTTTGCTTGAACACTGCTAGGCCCTTTTACCGGAACCATTTGCTTTGGCCTTATTGGTCTAAAGCTTTTGAAACAACAGTCATGCTGGGTTTGACATAAAACAAAGGGAGAGTTTTTGAAACACTAAGTCATGCCTGTGGTTAAGTATAGTGGAGAATATGTGATGATGTAGGCCTGTTTTTTTTTTTTTACTAGAGCAGAGTGAAGCAGGACATGGTAGAAGACAATATTACAGAAGCTGCAAATAAACTAAATAAATGAACAAATCAATAAAAAATGGCCCCCTTGACACATATAGCAGAACCCATTCTTCTGTCCAAGTCCTCAAACTAATTCATATTAGCAATTTTTGTGAATAGCAACAGATTTTAAAATGGGCTTTAGTTTTTAAAGTTTTCAAGTTTATTTATTTTAAGGCTTCTTACGCAACTCTAGAAGAGAGGTCAGTAAAGGGGACAGAGCTCTAACTTATTTCTAACTCCAGTCAGATAGGCTTTGGTTTCAGTGTTTCTAAAATATTTTCTTTCTACTGCTTTTATAATTTTTATGGGATGTATTTAATCTAAAAGGAATTCTATAGTTGTCAGATTTTTGCACAGTGGGTGGCGTTGCTGCAAAAAGGTCCTGGGTTCGATTCCCGGCCTGAAGTCTTTCTGCATGGAGTTTGCATGTTCTCCCTGTGCATGCATGGGTTCTCTCAGGGTACTCCGGCTACCTCCCACGGTCCAAAAACTTGACTGTTAGGTTAATTGGCTTTTCTATTGGCTTCTCTTCTATGGAGCTGTATGTTAAAGCAGTGGCTTATCTGTAGCTGAGAGAAAGTGGTTTGATAAGCGGATCAGGAAGGCTAGCTCTGTAATTGGAGGTGGTAAACAAAAGGATCCTAACTAAATTAACAACTCTGTTGGATGATGTCTTTCACTCCATGCATGAAACTGTTGCAGAACTGGAAAGCTCCTTCAGTGACAGGTTGCTTCACCCTAAATGCAACAGTAAGCATTATCCCAGACCCTTCCACCCAGCAGCTCTTTATAATAATTACTATTTTTAACAAGCTCAATAAGTTACCTTCATGCCAATTTTTGCATAGTTTGTATCTCTTAGTCAGCTAAATAACAGGCTGCTGTCATTTTGCACATATCTCACATTGCTGCTGTTTTAAAATTTCATTACTGTAAAAATGCCCACAGCTGTACATTGGTTATTTATTCTCCAGGTGCACGGTATTTATAACACCTTACAGTACAGTAATTTATATATACATATATTTTTTTCACTCTTCACTATTATGTTATTTTACACACTCTTATAATGTCCAAATTTGTGTGATAATTTTTTCTATAATCCTTTTGCTGCTGTAAAACCACATTTTCCCGATTTGGGGACAAAAAAGGGATTTTCTATTCTATTCTATTCTAGATTCTCCGAATGTGCAAGTATGTACATGAATGATTGTTTGTCTCTTGGTTGCCCTGCGATAGACTGGTGTCCATGGGGTACCCTGCCTATCGCCCGCTGACAGCTGGAGATAGGCACCAGTACCTCTCGCCACCCCATCAGCGATAAGCGTGACAAAAATGGATTAAAGTGTCATAGAAAGACGCAAATATTAAGGCTATTTCAAGCATTAGATAGTTTAGATAGCAGCAAATTTACAAAAAGGGGCTCCAAAGTGTGGCTCTTCTGTCATTACACACCCTGGGTAAATTCTGGAATGTTACAAATTTAGTCTGTAAGAACAGATTGTTGATGCAGAGGGACACTTAAAAAATATCAACGGCAAAATATTCACTGCACTGATAGTAAAGTTAAAAATAAATACACAGGAATTTCAATCTAAAAGCAGATTGGGCTGACCCATTTTCTAAGCTTGACTAAATACAACTACATATCAAAAACCCATAGAAATGATTGAACTACATGGTTTAGTAGAAAGGGAATCTTCCCCTATACCTTAATAGAGCAAATGTGCTTTTATTTACAGATCCCCATTTAACAGAAATCAGATTTTTGTTTGCTTCACTTTAAAATTGTATTTTCTTTATTGATGGAAAAACAAATCCTTTAAACTTGATAAACCTGCATTATATATAACCATAACTGAAGGACTGATGTAAAGAGAAAAAAACTGCATCCTTACTCGACTCTGCAGGTCAACTAAGAACCCTAAACATCACCTCCTATAATAGAAACTCTTATGTTAACATGTTAAAATATTTGAGGATATCCATTCACAGCAATAAATAGCATTTATACCTTTATAAAGGGAAATAAATATGTCAATAAGTTAAAACAATATACATTTTATAAATCGTTTTTCATGTGTGACTGACATATTCAAGAGGATGTCACTAGTAGCCAGTTCTTCCTTTTTAGTATCAAATATGTAGTTTGAAAACTGTAGCCATTAGAGAGTTCATTGTCTTTGTAGCAGATTAGGTGTAAAAGAACTTAATCATTAAACAGAACAACTAATACTGCCACCTGTTGACTTTTACAATCACATTATGCAGCATAGTTTTAATGTAAAAATATGAAGTATAACTAATAGCCTAAATCTTATTCTATGTGACATAAATTCACACACAGCCACATTTCCTGGCAGAGTGTTTCCTTACAGTGTGGTAAATCAGGTTGTCATCCAGAAAGGAGAGGTCATCGTCAAACGCGATTGGCCGACAGCAGGCTTGCAGGGGCACGTCTTTGGCGGGGAGTTTCCTTTTGTTGACCAGGTTAAACAGGATTTTATCATAGTTGGTTTCTGACTTTCTGCAGGGTCCTGAACAGTATCTGAATATCATTTCCTCACCGGAGCTGTAGCCCAGGCCCAGGTCTGTTACGTTGAGGTGAATCTGTCGGAGCACGCAGCCCTGTCCTCGTCCACCACCTCCTCCTCTTCCAATCCTCCCACTCATTTCGACTCCTTTATTTTCTATTTTCTCCTCTTTGCCTCTCTTCAGCTTTGCTCCCTTCTTCCTCTTCCTTCTGTGCCGAGTCCTCCGGATCCAGTTTTCGCTGAGGTGGGAAGAGAAGGAGGTAGAGAAAGACTCTGCTGAGGAGGATCGGCGCACTCTATTGATAACTACTTTGATGAAATCCATAGCATTTTTATCATTTTGGATAAGCTCTTCAATGGAATCTGAAACGCATTAATAAAAAAAATATTAGCTTTACAAACACACCTGATCTTAGATCTTGTTCCTTGGTGGTAATCAAAACTATATATATTGTCTGCCTATTATTTCTCTTATTCAGCTGATAAATCCAATCTGATAAATTGATGTTAAACAAATAAAACACAAATAAGACAGCTTTGAATCTAAGTAAAGATAAATCAGCCATGTATGGACACCCAGCCAGGATAAGTCTGTTTCTAAACTTTCAACAGACTAAGTTTTCACCTTCCATTTTCAGAGTTTCTCTGCTCTATACTTGGTTCAATATGGATCCATAAAGTTTCTCCCTTAATTACACCCGACATATATGACGACAATGACAACACCATGGTTAAAAAAGGCTTTGAATATCCATTTTTAGTAACACATGTATTTTTTCATGTGTTGTAATAATTGCTTTTGCAACATTAAAACTTATTTTGGCTGCATTTTGAAATTATTTATTGCTTCTTGTGTTCACAGCTGAGTTTCCACACATTTCTGTTTTTTTTCTTGCATTTTTTTCTTTCTGGTCTTTTAGTCTCATCAGCGGCTTTGGCCTCCTCCAGTGGCTATTGAATCCTGTTACTCCCTCCTCCACTCCATTCTGGTTAACCTCCAGGGAAATCCTCCATTTATCATCCCATGCCTTTCGGTTAATTTTCTTTGAGGTTTCTTTTTGTTGGTTTGGCTGCTTTCAGTGTGTTTGGGAGTTTTAAACGATTTTTAGTTATTGAATTTTGCTTGGCTTCACAACATCTGTAAATGCGATGTACACAAACAAACCTTTTCAGGGAGAGCCTCTCTAGAGAAAGCAAACTCAATTTTATGCTATGGACAGCTGGGGTGACCCCAAGAATGTTTCCATTTCCAATCTGTACAGACCTTTTCTTTATGTATGTCATGTGCTTCCCTGAACATGCCGGGGTTTTCTCTGGGGACTCCAGCTTCCTCATACAATCCAAAACAAGCATGTTAGGCAAACCAGAGACTCTACATAGATTTTTTTTCGAGGTGAGTTCTGTTTATGGTTGGATGTCTTTTTGTTGAATCTTCTTGCCAGTGATAGTTAAGAGAGACTATGCATCCCAGCCTTTCGACCAATCCACATAACAGAAGAAAATACAGCTAAAATCTAAAATAGAAGCAGGCTTAAAATGTTTTTCTCTCCGTGTTGGAAGTGTAGTGCTTTACATTCTACAAATAAAACTATTTCTCTTATGTTTAAAAAGTTTTTGAAACTAAACTGTCATTAAGCTTCATGTCAAATGTCAGTCTGTGATTAGAAAAGTGATTAATATCCATTTTTAAACAAAATACATAGTTAGAGAGATAGGATTTCTCTTATTTAGTGAGACAGACATAAACACAGTCTACAGAAATAAATAAAGCATTTACCTTTAAACAAATACACAAACACTTAACCCGATGGGAAGAAATATAGAAAACTTGGATTTGATCCAGGATCCCTTCCCTCTCTGCAAGCCTTTAACCTACTGACCCCCACTAATATGAACCAAGTCCATAAAGGGGGTGTTTTACTTTTGCAGAAGTCAAAACTTTACTAACGTCGGCTTATTGATCATATGCATGAAATCATTAATTAAATAGAAATGTTATGAATATTCAAATACCTTGCCTGTGCTTCAGTCTTTTATTTGATTATGGTAAAGAAAAAAAACAACAAAGTAGTTCTCACACTTAGCACTATTGGATGAAATATTATGTATTCATAACCTCAGATACATTTTGTAATAGCTCTAAGGTTTTAGCATATATCAATGCTTTAAAAAACTGTTAACAGGGTTTTTTTTTTTGTTGATTTTAATGTTTAACAGACAGACATTACAAACATTAAACACAAACAAATTGATTTTTGTTCATTTTTAATTCAAATTATGCACATTTATTGAATTTAATATTTTTTATTTAATTAAAGTTCCACAGTTATACAGCAATAAACAATTCTAAGTTTAGTTTCTTACATTTTTCTCCTGAGTCCAGTTCGCCTGCTGCCTCTGCAGGGTTAATGTCCGGAGAGATGAGGGGCCAGCGGAGCTGAACCGGGGGGGCCTCCAGGGGACTCTCTGCAGACGCAGACCGCTGTTGGCCCCGGATAGGAGAGCTGAGCCTGCCTGCACTGTGCAGAATCAAACAAGTGATCAGGATGTCCCATAACCTCATGGTCCACTTCAGTTCGACAGAAGGACATGGCGCGATGTGCAATCCGAGAGTCTCATTTGATGAAAATGAACATAGAAAAAATGGTTTGAAGGTGATACAGGAAGATGCAGAACACAAAGTTTCTTCAGAGTTTCTCTGCAAAATGCATAAGAAAAATAACAGCCTGAGTTCGTTTAAAATCTCTCTCGTAGGTTCCTTTTGGGAAGGCGAATCTCTAACAGAGAGCAGCCGAACAGAAGCTGGATGGATGTGGAAAGGTGCTGACGTCTAGTGGCCCTTCTGTCTCCTCCCCATGCAGATACCCAGAGGGCTGGCGTTCATATCCAAGGCTGACCCTGATCCACTGTTGCTCCCTGTAGTAGTGGAATTATGTTTTGAGAAAGTTTTGGTGAAGAGCGAGGTTTCACACTTTCCACTTCATTCCACATCCTCTCCAGCTTTGAAACATGTTTCTAATTAGCAGGGGCGTAGCCAGAAATTTTTTATAAGGGTGGCCAGGCAATAACCATTGTAGACTGAGGGGTGGCCGAAAGCGGATAGGCGCCCACAACCTTAGGGTCAAGCCTAATATGAGAATAACTATACTTTCCTACAGCCTTTGCTAAGAAATAGATGCATGTATTTAAACATCTGTGCTTTCTGGATAAAAGGTATAGTGGGTTCAGGTTGGAGTTCTGGGGTGAACATCTTTTCCATTGTCATTACTTACCTACTTTTATTGATAATCATTCTGCATAAAATTGATATTTAGAAGTACAAATATCTATATAAATTGATTATTTAATACAATTTTATTAAAATTGTTATTTATGTATGATTTCACTAAAGACTCCTAAATGAATTGCAGAGACACATTATTTTCTCTTTACTCCATAAAACACAAAATCTAGTTCTAAAAAGAGCATGAATTCTGTATTTATCATCTTTAATGTTAGTGTGACACAATGATGTGTATTCACATTATTGTTTGTTTGATTTTAAGAGAAAGACTGATTTTGGGTAATAATTTGTTTGAGTTGTAGTTGCACACACACACCAGAAGGTGGCACATTGCTCCATGAGACGCCATAGTGAGGCCATAGGCTCTGCTTCTTCAATGCGGCAGAAGCGAGACATGGAGAAACTTCACCCGTCGCTTGTCTCATTTATTCTCCTGTTTTACAGGAACATTTATTCTGCCCAACAGGCCCGAAGCCCGGGTCTGTTACATTAGTACCGGTATATTGATTTGTATAATTAACCACAGTGTTTTTGTAGTCAAGAAATTAGGAATACATGAAAAAATAGTAATATATGAAAAATGAAATTGAGAGTATTACTGCTCCCAACATCTGTATTAGAGGGAAAAAATGGTAGGGGTGGCCACAGGGGTGGCCAGTGATTGGCCATCCATCTAGCTCCGCCCCTGCTCATTAGCCAGTAAGCTGTTATTCTAGCTTTGTCCAGATGACTCCTTTCACCACATTCATGAGCTACAATTTAAAGCCAAGTAATGATGCATTTACATGATATCCTTATTTGGCATTGTATGGAAGTCTCTTGCTGCAACTTCAGTGAGAAAAAATGTATTTCAAATATTGATATATCAAATTAAAACAATTATTGTAATTCTAAATGACAAGTTAAGGCAATGCAATTTTATTTGTATAGCACAATTTAGTACATGGACTGAATAAAACAGAAAAAAATATAAGCAGGATAAAAGCAAAAAAACATTTGTACAACACAAATATTGTACCACAAAAAAAGCAGAATAAAAGGAAGTAAAAAAAAAGAAGACAGTTTCTCTGAAACTCTTATTGGTAAAATAAGGTCAGTAAACCCTGGGAGAATGATGGGGAAACTGGAGATTATAGGGCAAAATAACAAGGCCAGCTGACTGAATGAGAGAATCAAAAAAGTTTATTTTTCTATATGTAAAAATATCTATAAATGAAGAGTATTCACCTTTTTGTGAAACATGATGGTTTCTTTATGACAACGTTGTTAAGACAAGCAAATATTTTGGGGCTCAATTTCACTCATCTAAGATGCTACTAAAATACGATTTAATTCATGGTGGAAAACATGAGAAAGTAGACCTAGAACAATGTTCAGCTCAGAGAAGCTTAACAAAATATGTTTTACAAGAAAAAAGGAAGCATTTGCTTGCTTTACCATGTTGCCTAGCCAACTTTATGTATAAAGCATCGACCACATTGACACTGATCAGAGCTTGGACTGAGTGACGAAGGTGCTAAACAAGAATGATTAAAAAAAGCAACAACAAAAAAGTAGAATTTAAAGTGAAAAAGTTTGAAATAGAAATAAAATGAAAACATGATATTATGACACAGACTGGAAAAATAAATAGAATAAAATCATCAACTTATATCAGGTCAAATGCCAATAAAGCGGCTTTTTGGATGACAGTAACAAAGATTCCATAGTTTAGAAGCTTTAATGGTAAAAGCCCAATCTCCCCTTTACTTCTGTGTACCCAAAACCTTAAACAACATCTGATCAAAGAGGTATGGAGGGGCATAAGCAAGGCCATTTAAATACCTAAAACAAATGAAAGCTTGTTAAATGAACTCCAAAAAAGGTGTTATGTTATTTGTCAGAGAGACTGTCTTCACACGAAGAAGACCCACCAGGGACATTAGACTAAAGATCATCACCTAAGTCTTCTTTTCATTGAAACTGAAAAAGTTAGAAGACACCCAAGATTTGAATTCCTTATGAAATGTGATCAAATCTTCCATACAAAATGTATCTTCCTGTTTAAGTGGGACATAAACATGATTATCATCTGCATAACAATAAAAAGCAATCCAGTGCTTTCATTAAAATTGAGTCAAGGGGCGGGAAACACATGGAGAATAACAGAGATCCTAACCGAGGGCCTAACAGTTAAAGCTATAACTGAAATAACGTCTTTAACATCAAGGGGGTATAGCATCAGCAGGAGAACCTGAGAGCTTTAAATGATTAACAAAGTCATTTAATGAAGATAAAGTCATAGTTACGAGTAGAAGTCAGCAAAACAAGGAACCAAGACAAAATCTTAAAAAGTAAAGAGGCATATAGGAGCCCTGATATGTTCACTTTTTCTTCATAAAGTATATAAATCTCTCGCATGCCTCAAAGGAAGGCTCAAATTTAAGCATTTTAAATGCATTCAAAACAGAATCACTGATTTTATGTAAACCTGTGAGTGGGAGGCTTTGTCACATTGACATTCAATGCTTTCTTTTTGCATATTTCACAATTGCGTGATATAAATGCTAGCAGTGCTGCAACATGTCAAAAGAATTAAAATGAAGGTATAGTGAGAATATAGACCAAGTTATTGTCGATGTTTTAAGTTAGTTTCAAGTTAGTTTTAACCAGCCAAATATCTATGTGTTGATTAACATATGCTTATGCTGGATGGTAAAGATGTTCACAGATTTTCCAGATTTTCACATTATTTCAGAATCTCTTAGCCTCTAACCCTGATTTACATTTCACACATCTATACAGGATCTGTTTACTTGCATATAAATAATTCAGGAAGAGCTGATCCCTTCAAAACCTCTGATCTGAAAAAGATTTTAATAGACCTTATCTTTTGAGAAGGAATTACTCAGCCATTAGTCATCTCAAGACCAAATGTCCTAACTTGTGTGTTATAGTGATTCATCAATATCAAGTTACCTTTGTCATGATCTTGGCACTGATGACTGGCTTAATGGGTCATTCCATTCACCTGCCTAGCTCCACCCAGTTTCTCATCACTGTTCATCTATTTCACCTGCTCTAGTCTCTATTTAAACTGCCTGCTTGCAGTCATCAGTGCCAGATTATTTGGGCCTGCGGTGAGAGTTCTCTAGTGAGCCTGTTTGTTATTCTGATTGCCAGATCCTGACCAGTTCTACCTTCAGGCCTCTGAGTCTGCCTGTTCCTGTTTCAGATTTGTTTGCCTGACCTGTCTTCAGACTCCTGCTGGTTTCTGCCTGTGGATTAAACCTGGATCTGCCTCCTGACTTCGACTTGGATTTCCCCTCTGTACCTCTTTGGATCTCTGATCTTCTGTCCTGGACTCCTGTTAACCTCTTCGACAATGGCTTTGACTTTGTCTTCTGGAAAGTCCTGCCTTCCTTCGTCTGCTTGGATCTGATCATCAGCCAGTTCAGCAGGCTTCTAGGCTTCTGCTCCTGGAACTTTCAGGGCGGCGTTTGCCGCATGCTGGTGGTCGCTATCCGTCTGGATTCTCGTCCTTCTTCTGGGCACAGACCCAGACCCCAAAACTAGATTAGTGACTCACACGCCCGTAATTGTCTTGCGTCCGATTTACGTGGTCACTAACCTGACATTTCTGTCTACAGAGATTATGGCTTTTCAATGTCCTACCTGCTGACTTGCAGATCCGACATACATTAATAAACAGTTTTGTTAATGACATCTATCTGTCTGTTTGACTTCGGGGTCCTTAGTACTGACAACCTTCCTCTTAAAAAAAGAAAAAGAAAGAAAAACGTGTCAAAGAAGTTATCTAAAACCATTGAGTTCTTGGAACGAACAATGTCTTGGTATAAACTTTCAGATGAACTCATTGGGATTGTCTAATTCTAGTAGAAATTAAAACAGTCTCCTCTGTTACAGTGAACATAATTCTTTACGGCAAAGATCAGCCGATCTAGAGGTAATAGTAAGAAAATTACATCTTAAGATGTCACTAAAATACAAGAAATGTATATTTATGCTTAGTAGGTTTATCCTCTTTTATAATTGGGGTGTTTCAAAAATAATGACAGATGAGATTAGAAATCCAAGCTATGATTTAGCAAAAGCAGTAAGTTCCCATCACAAGCATAGGTTATGAATGGATTAAAAAGCACATTTTTCTTGACCCAATGCTGTGTTTAGAAAGTAATCAACACCATGTGCTGTTTGTTGCCTCTGCGGCCTGAGGGTGAGAGTGATCAAACTACCAGAGCTGTGAGAGTGGATGCCGTTCACTTCCTTTAACCACAGGGAATTAAATGGTGTTGAAGGAATGTCAGTAACAGTTGCAAAGTTTTATAAAGTTTACTTTAGATTTTTCTCGAGTAAGAGTGGAGCTGAATCCCTGGGACAGCTTCTTACCAGTTAGTTTAAGAATCGTAGTTCTTAAACTAACTGTATAATAATGTAAGTCTGAAAATAATCTTAAAACATTATTTTTAGCTTCATCAGTGCCATGATGCCATTAGTGGAGACTCTTCATTTGTGCTACTATCACTGGACACATTGAAAGTTGGTGTGGCGGAGACCACATAATTATTGCAGGAAGAAAAATATGTATTTTTAGGATCTGCATTTAATTCATTTGGAAAATAATGTATCTTCTCATTTTAAATTGACTTGTTAGATACTTTAATGCAAAAATTGTAACTTTGTCCAAGTCTGCTACTGTTTTTTTTTTTTTTTCTGTCCATGTTAGTTCCTCTACTGTAAGTATTTGTCCAGTAGAGGGAACCATTGAGCTCAATTTATGGGGATCAGTGATTTCCTTGGAAAACTCATCATCCTAAAATACTAAGCTGCATATTTAAATTCCTGAATATCCAAGTGTCTAAACAAATTATTCCCAATGTCACACCTAATAACAGTTTAATAAACTGAATTCATTTCATTACATTTACAGTAAGCTATTTTTAATGAATACTTCTGATTTAAATATATCTTATACTTTTCAATAAAATTTGAATTTACGAGAGCCAATTGTAAATGTGTGAGAAACTAAATATGCATTATAAATTCCACTGTCGCAACAGAGACCGTCTAGCCATTGAGAATTAATGTTGACATTTGACCTTAAAAATATTTATGAACCACTATAGATAAGATTTTCCTCTATAGCATGTAAGAGCATTTTTTTTTTCTTCCAGTTTTTTTTTTTTTTTTTTTTACATTAAGTTACTTTAAGTAGTGAGGAACACTACCTCTTCTTAAAACAGTGAGGAGAAAAAAACGTTTCCTTGCTTTTTTTCTGTAATTATTATGAGTACTTTATAGATTATACAATTCATTTGAGTTAAAGATATAATAAACTGAATCCTCTGAACATTTCTTGGAGAGCCGAGATTAAGACAGTATGATCCTTTAGTTTTGGGTATTATAATTACCATTAACATTACTGACATTGAACAGAATTATGCTTTTTGACAGGGTTATTTATGGAGCTGTCAGTGCCTTGTATTATGTGACAGTTTTCTAAAAGATGAAAGCCATTACTGAAAAGAGAATGAAAGGCAACATTTTATTGAATGTCGTCTATGTTTCAATCAGCCACAGGCCTCAGGGGAAACATCAGGAAGACAGGCATTTTGTTCAATTGGAAAACAGTTCAGAAGAATTTGCTTCAACCAAGACATTTTTATGGTGACATTTTCTATGCTTTTAACTACTTTAATGTGCCTGACTGCTGGCCTGATGAGCTGGATACTTTGGTGAACCATGTTCATTTACCTTTTTAAAAGCTAAATTCATGAGAAACCTCTGTTTTTGACTTTTCTATGTGTTACGGTAACCATGCCAATGGTAACAGATAATGTTTTGTAATAAAACTGTAATAAAATGTGATAAAACACCAAAGACAAAATGGGAAATCAAATTAAAATCAAATGATTTTAAAAGTGTGCCAAAACAGGTGTCAACAAATATTATTCAATAAGAAACATATAAAGTAATGGTTGCAACTATGACACAAATAAAAATGACATAGGTGACATCTATTCAAAACAAATTTAGGTACTTTGGGACTAGATATGAACTATGATCTAATATGTTAAAAGATATGAAAAGATACCAACAAGAAAATAGATATCTGCAAGGAACAGATTACATGCTAAATTATGACAGTCTACTGGTTCATCAAAGTGGAATTCTTTAAATTACTAGTGTGAATTTATCATTTTCTTTAGTGGGAGGGTATGTCAACTTTCAAGTACAGCTGTATTTAGATCTCACATTTACATCACAATGTTCCTGAACAGTTCAACAAGAAAATTGTCAATTCTAAATTATTTTATTCCATACTGTAAGGCAGGAAAAAAATACATAAAATAAGTGTCAAATGAATCTATTAATTTCTGGATACTTCATATAATAAGGGCGAAGCACAATTAATCTGAAAGTATAACGATCTTGGTTCTGCTGGTTTTCAGTTTCACGTTTATCCATGTTTTTCTTTGTTTTCTAGCTTTATTGGTGTGTTCTGGATTTATTTAAGTTTCTTAGGTTTTTCTTTGCTTTTCCTCTGATGCCCTCTTGCGTTCTCCTTTTCCCTAGCTCCTTTCCTGTTCTGCTCTGCTCACACCTGCTCCCAATCTGCTCGTTAGTCCTCTCTTTTTTTCAGTCTCCCATAAATACACTCCTTATGCAGTTCCTCATTGCTGGTTCCTCGTCTTATTTTGTCTCATCCCGGCACCTTGTGATAGTTTTCTCCTGCTGTCTCCATGGTTCTGGTTAGTGTTTAATTTTTATGTTGGATTTTTGGATACTTGTTTTTGTTTAACATTTTTAAGTTGGACTTTTGGATTCCTGTTTTTGCTACCTGTCTTATCCCATTAAATCATCAAAGAACTCACCTCTGCCTCTCAGCCTCTGCATTTGGGTCCTCACAAAAACCTCCAAACAAACTGTGACAGAAAATGCATCAGGCACTGAAACACTTGGATCACTTGCTTGAAATAGTTTGAAGCAAGAGAGACTCCTTGCTTCACACAAAACTTCTCTGTTTAATATAATTTTCTATCTTTTGAGCCTGCCGAGCCACTTGGAGGTCGAGGTAACAGTAATAGGTATACATTATTATTAGAAGTACTTTGTAACCAAGATTCATTATTGTTTGTATTTTTGTCAGTAAAGAATTGCTGCCCTAGCTGTGAAAATTCTAATGCGCCTGCATTGAAACAGGATGGACTGTACCCATTGAGGGAGGATTAGGATTGTGTGCCCTTCGGTTAGCCATTCAGGGTGGTTCCCATCTCTAAGCAGCTGGTTCATTTGTGCTGCCAGGCATTCATAGAGTGCTGTGAGTTTCTTTAGCCAGTAGGTGTGTATCATGTCTGGGCCTGTTGCTGTCCAGTTTTTCATACCTGAGACTCTTTCTTGGATGTCACTGTGATGGTGACTGGATTCTGTTCAGGGAAGATGTGGAAGTCGTCTCTCAGAGCAAACAACCACTGTGCATCACTGTTGTGTGCTGCCTCCTCCCATATTCCTTTCCATTACTGTTCAGTTTCCAGCCTTGGTAGGACTGTTCTACTATCGCTCCCCTGCCACTGAGCGTACCCTTTCGCTGGTTGAATTGCAAATAGCCGATTTACCCATCTGGCTTCCTTGTCTCTCATGTACCTCTTTAGGTGGCTAGCCAAGGTTTGGAGCCTTTGCTTGACAGTTTCCAGTGCTTCAGATATGGGCATCTGGTACTGGCACTTGCTTTGTCATTGCACCTTTTAGGTAAAAAATCAATTGACTCACTTTTTTCCTTCTTTTCCACAGTAGGAATTTCATCACATGGTAGTTCTTACCATTTCTCCCACATCCTTTGCATGCCTCTGACCATGCTCTGGTTCTCCAGGCGGGCTACGTCTGATTTCATTGTCAGTCATCATTGTATTAGGTAGGCATTAGCGTGAAGAGTCATGCCTAAGGATCCACACTGGCAGCTTTCTCTTCCCCAAACCAGGACCTTCACTTGACTTACTTGAGCTCATGTGAACGGCTTTATATATACACATATATATATATATATATATATATATATATATATATATATATATATATATATATATATATGAGAACTGTAGATATGTAGATACTGTTTAAACCCCACGCACCTTTTCCTCCTTTTGGAACCTTCTTCTTTTTGACTAATGAGCTGATGTAATGAGTAAATTCCTCCACTGTGAGATCAATAAAGTCAATCAATCAGTCTGTAACAAACATTGGATATTTTTAATGCCACATCTTGATTGTAAAGGTAGAATAATGTCAAAAACTAAGCATCAGATTAAGTCTTGATTTGTACTTACCTGTGCTGTTTTGTGTTTTACTAAATCCAAACAGTTTCAATGCACATTATGTTATAAATCATAGGTTTGCATCTTCTCTGTTTACTCTATGGATTAACCCTCATTGTTATTTTTTTTTAAGTTTGCCTATTGGCTGTAGTGTACTTTTGGTTTCTATTTTGCCAGACTTTTACACTATAGGATTGGTGTGGTAAAAATATATCCAGACGATGGCTTATTAGGAACATTTGCTCCACCTTTTGCCTCTATCATGACTTACAGGATGTTTTCAGAATGTTAGGGCAAAATACAGCACGAAAAGTTATTATTTTTTCATTCTTTCTGATTATGTATTTGCAGTTTTTCTCCATTCTTTGACTTCGAACGTGTTGTTCTTCTTTATACCTTTAAAGTAGTATGATCTTTTTATTTATTTATTTTTTACGTTTAATTAGTTTTTGATTCTGTGAAATTTCTGTTAATGACAAGAAAAAAACAAAAAAACATCTGAGCCAGGGACTGTCTTTATTAGATTTAGGATCGTGTCCAATTTTTCTTTCACTTTCAATCAAATTTGGAAACAAAAGAAGAAAAAAAAAACAGAAAAAAACAAACAAACAAACAAAAAAGAATAAATCTGACTGTACAAATCTAAAGTGATCTCCTAACCAAACCACACAATCACAGCATTAATATTCAGTCTGTTGTTTGAGCTTCTTCCCCCGCTTCTACTCCAAAGCATGCTCTCCATCTGTGTCCAGTGTGCGGATTAGACGCTTATTATCCTCTTAGCTCTAATTGGCCCAACATCCATTGCACTTGGTTGTGTGGCTGTCTAAGAAACGAGCCGGAGCGTGACACGACAGCGATCTCCATGAGTAAAAACCACCGTTAGCGCCATTCATCGGTGTTCGTGAAGAACAATCAGCGGCTGGATTGTGTGGACAAATCTTTCCATCGTCTATCAGAGCGCCTGTCAGGGGAGCATGCTCAATGGGCTGTTTTTCGGTTCATGACCCTCCCCAGTGATCTTTTGCAGACTGTAATCTTATCAGTCTCAAACCACGGCTATTCTCTCCTCCGCGGCCAACTCTCATGCGTATTTGGAGCGCGCATTTGGATAACAGAATAACTGAAGAGCTTTTCTTTAAGACAACTCCCCCATTCGCAAAACATCTAGTTAAAAGAAAAAGTTAAATGCTCTTTTTTGTTTGGACGTGTCCTAAAATGCGGATTTGACCAAGCAAAGTTATGGATCTTACATGTAAAGAAAAAAGTCTTCTATACTTCATTTTCTTGTCTATCTGCTCTGCCAGCGTTTCTGTTGGTGCCAGAAGATCAAATGCGCGGAGATCAGGTGAGTTCAGTGTAGTTTCACCTTCTACAAACTATAGCAGCTCTGGGAAAATTAAACCTAGTGCTGAGATATAGAGGACCTAGAGAGTAAATGTAAAAGAAAACATTTAAATAAATTTTGAAAAGCATTTCATAATAAATTTAATTCAGAGGAATTGTAAAATGTATTTATTAATCCATCATTAAATGCTGGAATTTGATCATGTATTTTCAAATCCAATTTCAAAATGGAAATTTTATCCAAAAAAATCCTGAATATGAATTTAAATACCTTTCCTAATAAGAAGTTTATTTATTTATTTTTTTTCCATTTCCATTCTCCTTTTTGTTTTCCATTGTCTTTTTTCTTCACCTTCTTCATTTACCTTTTCTGTTACCCTTCTGATCCCAGAGATCACTGAAAAGCAGTTGCTGTTGTTTCAACATCATTATGTTATTTTCTCTGAAGTGGCGGATTATGCATAAATGGAAGAGTCTCTCCTTGTTCCACACCTATTCNGTTAAAAGTATTAGCATGAAAGTGTAATGTTAGTATACTTTTTATATATTTACAAAAAGTACAATTTGTCTAAGTACATTTTCAGTAAACTATAGGAAATATGAATATACTTGAAATACAATAAAGCACTTTTTTTTTTACCAGGGCATCCATCCATCCATCCATCCATCCATCCATCCATCCATCCATCCATCCATCCATCCATCCATCCATCCATCCCTGTGAATAATGTTCAGAGAGAAGGGGAAATAAAGGTTTCTAAAAGAGCTACGCTTTGTTCTAACTTAAAAGCAGTCTTCACAGTTGTCATCTTTGCCGAAATCCTTCAATTTAAACCCTAATTAAACCTAATTTTTATTGGTTTCTATATTTCTTTGTTTCTTTGTCCCACTTCTTTTCCTTTTCCCTCCATCCTTTCCCCTTTCGCTCCCTGTCATTCTCTTTGACCCCTGTTTTTTTTTTTTTCAAACCTCACACTGTCAGACCCTCAGGGCCAATGTGGGTTGACTTTTATGTCTGTCTGCATAGTGCCCCTATCATGGCTTAGACGGCCAAACAAACAGAACACCGGGCTGATGTAGGTTGCATTCTATGACTGCCAGTGACATTTGTATGTTTGTTTATATTTTATTTTTTATGTTTTGAGGACTTTCTTATCCTGTTCTCACGGAGGGTATAATGTCAACAGGACTCGGTGTCCACATGAATCACATCAGCTTTTAACAAAAAAGCAGGTGGTTTCAGAATAGGGTCGACATTGAACAAAGCTCTTCTTCAAGGTGGTCTTTGTTTTTTTAATTCCCTGACAACTTCATTCCCCAGTTTGAATAGACAGTTAAATTATTAATGGAATAATTTAGAGGCTTAGATTTTTTTTGCTCCTACTTATATGCATATCTAGCATTATGAAGTGAGAACCATGCATTTTCATGAACCTTCCAAGAACACTTCTTGCCCTTCACCTTTTCTGACAGCGAAACTATTAAGATACAATTAAGAAAAGGAACAGTTACTAATGTTTAAAAACAGTACTTTTTTTTTATTCCTTCAAAATCTCACTCTATTCTGTTTAAGAAAAAAACAGCTGCATGTAGCACAGTGATTATTTTCATTTGGCTGACTAGAATATTGGAAGAAGACCATTTCAACCCAACTGTGAAGGTGGAGAGAAAAGTAAAGGGCCATGTTGCTTATGGATGCTGCTATTATGTTTTTAAGTGTACAATTACTGCCAAGCCTGCATATAAAAACATTACTTGGGAGGTTGCTGTAACTATAATAACTTTCAGGACAATTGATTTCTCCATTACCGAAACAAGTTGCTCTCATTTGTAACAACAAACCAACTCAAGTTCCACTATTTAATGTTAGAAAAAAAAAGGAAACATGTAAAACAATAATAAATTGAACCTAGAATTTAGAAAGTGAAATTGTTACGTATGTGGTGATTTCTGAATGTGAATCAATATTCTAGGTTTATGATAATGAAAAAATGATTTAGTCGTTCTTGGGGCTGGATCTAAAAACCTGACAGGCAGGATGGAACAGCTAAATGTGTGAAAGGGTTTAAGAAACCAGGTTGTGGAAGACTTAAATGAAAAATACACGAAAGCAATGGAGCAAGATGAAGGCTACACAAATGGGAAGGAAAATTCTAAGCAAGTAATACCCTTGGAAGTGTAAACTAATCAAAATTAACACTAAAATTGCAGAACTCGTGACATTTTATATAAATATTTAGTTCCATACAGTTTCTGAACAAAACTGATATTTATATTTCTATAAGTATTTGCCAATAGTTTTGATATCATCATTTGCCTAAAGTAAAAGGACTCATTTTTTTATGTAACAACTTTTACTAAACATCTATATTAAGCCAGTAAGGATGATCTGTCATAATAACGTACAGGAAGAAGAAGGGCCTTATTTCCCAGACATTAAGATTTTTTGTGATACAAAAGGCATATAAACTCTGTAGAAAATTGACTTTTCAAGATCCTGACTTGTAAGAAAGTGACTTTATACGCTTTGTTACGTGTAAAAGATAGCAGTTTGCAAGTGCAATAATACTATAATGCCTTAATTTTTTAGGAGGCATGGGACGTGGTCTGCTGAAAGTGTTGATTTAACATGAACACAGGTAAATTTGAGGAAAAGGGGGGTAACTACAGAACACTGAAGCATAGGGGCAGCAGTCCAATGTTGTGGGGAAGTTCTGGAATAGCAGGAATCGCAGTAAAAAAAAAATGAAATGACATCATGAAATAAGCCCTCTAGAAATAATGAAGTAACATCTCAAATCACTACAGAAAATTTTAAACTTTGTCAGAAATTGGTCAGAAGTGGGTCTTGTAAGGCCAAACATCGGTCATTCTATCAGAAAAAATAGGTACAAAGCGAATTTAGTAAGTGATGTAGGGTGGACATAAGACATCCCAAAAGCTTGGAAAAGCTGTAAGTAAGCAAGGCAGTATATAAATTTAATACAATTTTACCAGCTCAGTCAGGAAAAGTGGGACAAAATCACAGCAAACTATCCTGAGAAGCTTGTGGAAGAAATCTAATTTGTACAGTTTAAAGGTAATTCTACTGAATATTTAGGGTATATGTACACTCTGTATGAGGAGTTTGAAATATACTGAGGTTTAATGTCAGACTGTAAGATAAAGAGGTTATGTCACTTCTTATACAGTGTAATACAATTCATTCAACAAGCCACAATTAAAATACTGTTCAACAAAATCTGTCTACCAACCACTGCCCTTACAACAAAACCACTATTTTAGTTTTAGGTGTATGATTTTGATTACAGATATTAAAGCCCTTCAACTTGGATCCTCTAATGACTTTACTTTTGCACATTTTGTGGCTAGGTCCCTTGAATGTTATAAAGAAGATCAGATTTGCACTTGTAATATGTCAATCAAATTTGAACACTTGTTTAATTGTGTAGCCTGGGGTTGGCAATGGAAGTAGACTCATTTGATCCAAAACGTTACATTTATACATCTAGAAGTTCTGCTACATCATTGTTTTGTATAGGTTAGCATTTATTAGCACAGCAGCCATCTTTAAATAGGTATGTATGAATTTAAAAAGTATTACAATCTTTGTCAATATAATCTTCATTTCTTTCTTTCTTCATAATATTTTGCTCCTGGGTTATATGTTTTTTACATGCAAACTGATGCTCCATCC